GGGGAGAGAACAGGCAGGGGGAGGAGGGGAGAGAACAGGCAGGGGGAGGAGGGGAGAGAACAGGCAGGCTGGGAGCTCTGAAACACCTGCCTGGGCTGCAGAGCCCAAGACCGTCGGTCCCAAGGCCCTGCCTGGGCTAGGGAAGCAGGGTGGGAGGAATCCACCCCCAGCCCACCTGGATGAGCTCCTGCTGCTCCAGGTCCCACTTCTTGATGCCGTTATCTCGGGAGCCACTGAACAGGATGTCTCCCTGGATGGCAAGACACTCGATGCCGTCATAGTGTGGGGGCTCAAAGTTGTGGGTGGGGCCCACGGTGCCCGTCACACCCTCGCCCAGCTCGAACATCTGCAGGGAGGAGGTACAGGTAGGGAGAGCTCGCAGGGAGGAGGCGAGAGCCAGGGTCAGCCCATCGGCTCCGACACAGCACCACCACTGCTGTGTGTGGGAGGCCAGCCGGCAGGCCCAGAGCTGGAGCTTCCCCAGCAGGTGAGGGCTGCCCCCAGGCAGCAGGACTGCTTCCTTTGCTGCGCTGTGTGCTGTCATCATAGCGACTTTACAGTACAGAGCAGAACTGCCCCCTAGGGTTTCCGAGGCTGGAATCTTTATGCAAACACATCGCCAGGTCTTTGAACGGCTGGCTGGTGGTTTCGACCTGCTGACTTTCTGGTTAGCAGCTGAGCTCTTAACCACTGCACTACCCGGGCTCCTTTGCTTGTTCCTAGGGACTAGGGACTCTGAAGGCTGGGGTCTTGACCCTTCCCGTAGGGACTGGGGCTGGGGAGTGGTGGGGAGACTGACTTAAATGAATGCAAGGAGTAGATCAGCTGATTACTGGGAGACCCCGCAGCTAGACATGAAGCAGCTATGGACAAAGGCGGTTTTGGGGCATCAACTTCCCTTTAAAATTCTTTTTCATTTTTTAATAAATAATATATTACTTGTACTTTAAATAAAAGGAAAATATTTATCTGTAATCAAACCACCCCACCGTTCTCTTTTTTGATGCTGTTTTTCCAGCTTCTGGAGGCCCTGGGCAGTGCAAACGATTAACATGATCAGCTGTTAACTGAAGGGTTGGAGGTCTGAGTCTACCCAGAAGTGCCAGGAAAGAAAGGCCTGGTGACCTACTTCAGAAAAATCAGCTACTGAAAATCCTGTGGAGCACAGTTCTACTCTGACACCCACGGAATGGACTCCATAGCAACTGGTTAGTTAGTTATGTTCCAGCTTCTGACCATGTCCACACATTCCTCAATGGCTTAATTGGGGGGCAAATAAAATGAGCATTGTTTTCATGCTTTACCTTTGGTTTTCATATTTATCACTTTGATAGTTGCATCACATTCCATTCAGTGGATTTTCCAGAATTTACTTTACTGTTATTCTATCCTTAGACATTTAGATGTCTCTAATTTTTCATCATTTACAAAGTAACGCTGCAATCTATAACTTTCTGTACACACCCTCTTGCCTTCTTTGGAGAGGTTTTTTGGCATAAATTCCCAGAAGCCTCATTGATTTTCATGAGAACTCCTCAAGGCAACAGAGGGAAAAAGTGGGTGAGCATGAGGAGGAAGCACAGAACAGTCCTCAGCCCTGCCTGGAGCTGAGGGCGGCCACAGGTACCTTAACATAGTGGTCCTTGGAGCCGGTCACCACAAGGTCATGGTGGCTGGAGGTCTGGCTGACCGTGAGGCACATCACGGGGCCAATGTGGCCAGTCAGCTTGCCGATCGGCTGGAACCTGCAGTGGGGAGAGGCCCAGCCAGGGGCCAATGGGTCAGAGGGGACCCTGGGTCAGAGTAGAGGGTCTTCCCTGGAACAAATAGGCTCGGCCAGGGTACTCTCCCTCCCCATCAAGGCAAGCTCAAAAACTTAGACATGAACTTCTTGGTATCCCACGGGTCTCAGATGAGGGGCACAGCTCAGCCTCATGGGGGAAAGGAGAATGGAGGAGCAGCTGACATCCTACCCCCCTCTGGCGTGGGTCATGGCAAGCTGAGGCCTCAGCACCTGCCCTGAGGCATCTCACTGACCTGCTGAGCTCCCAGACACGGACAGCGTTGCCTGAGGCGGCGTACAGCATGGTGCCGGAGGGGCTGAGGGCAATCTGGTTGATCTGGTGCTCCCCTTGAGCACTGGTGATGGCGCGGGTGGTTGTGGCGGCACAGGCGTCACCCGAGATCACCTGGCCTGAGGACCTACCCAGGAGGAAGAGAGGCAAGGCCAGCTATCAAGACAGCCCGTCCAAATGGGCCAGGAAGCCAATAAACCCTCACTCAGCTATGGCCAGTTGATTTTCGACAAGGGTGCCAAGTCCATTCAATGAAAAAAGAATAGTCTCTTCAATAAATGGTTCTGGAGTAACTGGATCTCCACATGGAAAAGAATGAAGTTAGACTCAGACCTCACACCACATATAAAAATTAACTCAAAATGGATCAATGACCTAAATGGAAGAACTAAAATCTTAAAACAAAACAGGGGTAATGCTTTAGGACCTAGTTTTCAACAATGAATTCTTGGATATGACACCAAAAGCATGAGCAACAGAAGACAAAACAGATGAATTGGACTTTATCAAAATTAAAGACTTATGTGCATTAAAGGACTTCATCAAGAAAGTGAAGAGACAGCCTAAAGAATGAGAGAAAATATTTGGGAACCACATACACGTATCTACGTGGTAAGGGCTTAGTAACCAGAACTCAACAACAAAAAGACAAATTACCCAATCAAAAAAATGAGCAAAGGACTTCAAAGATATTTCACCAAAGAAGATATACAAATGGCCAATAAGCACATGAAAACATGTTCAGTGTCACTAGTCATTGGGAAAATGCAAATCAAAACCACAAAGAGATACCACTTCACCCCCATTAGGGCGATAATAAAAAGATGGATAATAACAAGTGTTAGTGGGGATGTGAAGAAACTGGAACCCTCATACATTGCTGGTGTGAATGTAAAACAGTGCAGCTGCTTTGGAAAACAGTTTGGCAGTTCCTCAAAAAGTTAAACATAGCACTACCACATGATCCAGCAATTCTACTCCTAGGTATATGCCCCAAAGACTTGAAAACAGGGATTCAAACAGATAGCTGTATACTAATGTTCACTGCAGTATTATTCATGACAGCCAAACAGTGGAAACAATGCAAGCGTCCATCAACAGATGAATGGATAAACAAAATGTGGTACATATATGCAATGGGATATTACTCAACCATAAAAAGAAATGAAACAAAAAAAAGAAATGAACTTCTGATAACTGTCATGACATGCATGAACCTTGAAAACATTACGCTGACTGAAATAAGTCAGATACAAAAGGATCACAAAAGATCAAATATGATCCCACTTACATGAAATATCTAGAATAGGCAAATGCAGAGAGACTGAAGTGTATTAGTCGTTACTAGGGGCTGGAGGGAGGGAAATGGAGAGTTACTGCTTAAGGGGTACTGAGTTGGTGTTAAGAGTAATGAAAATACTTGGAAATAAATAGTGATGATGATTGTATGACATGAGGAACATAATTATTGTCCAGGAATTGTACACATAAAAATGGTTGAATTGCCAGTTTTTATATATATTTTTACCACAAGAAAAAAAGAAAAACCTCACTCAGGCCCAGCCCTCATAACCCACTTCTGCCAGGAGGCCTTCTCTGACTGATGGAGAGAAGCAACAGCTTCCAGAAGTTTCTGGTCCAACAAAGATGGGACCAAGGGGAGAGCTCCATTCCACCCCCAGCAAAAGCCAAGTCCCTATACCTGCCCTGTCCATCACCTAGAGCACTGGTGTGGAAAGGTTGTAACACTAAGGCTGGGTCTAAACCTAGATCTTGTGGAGCTCATTTAACCTCTCTGAGTCTCTGTTTCCTCATCTGTACAAAGAGGTGATAATACCCATTCTGTTTACCTCTTCTTTACAAAGCAAATCAAATAGCAGTTTGTAGCTTACAATGTAAACTTAAGGACTAAGCGTGACTTTTGCTAAGGAGCGATTTCATTTTCCACGGCCCCTTGTCTTAGTTCTGTTTCCCATGCGTCTGCCAGGGACCAGGGCCATATCTGAGGGGCTCACTCATGGGGGCAGGTGGCCAACACAGCTTTAGAGGCCAATGCCCCCTACCGTTCTCACCCCGTTTCCCCAACTCCTCTTTTGGACTCAAAAGTCAATATCCAGCAAACCTCAGGGGGCAGGGTTGGGGGACTGGGATGAAGGTGGGGACCAGGCAGGCCAATGAAAACGCCCAAAGGCTCCCCCAAGCTGCTGCCCCAGACACTGTCTCCAGCCCAGGGGATCTCGCCTGGTCCCTCAGAGTCTAGCCAAATCCAGGGGTCTGTGAGGGCCTTTGCGCCCATGTAGCCGGGCTGTGCTTAGGGGGTCACCAGGACTTTGGGGACGCATTTGCACGTAACTAGCCTGCTCTGGCCGCCACCGTGCCAGGCCAGTGGAGTACTTACGTGAGGGTGCGGATGCACTTGGCCGAGTCCCGGATGTCCCACACCTTGATGTAGGAGGTGGACACGGAGAACACCAGCCCCGAGTGGCTGCAGTATTTGATGGATACCACATTGTTGGGGTGGCCCTTTAGAGCCACGATCTCCTGCCCCGTCACCAAGTTCCACATCTTACAGCTTCGGTCTGCAAGACACAGGGAGGGAGTCAGAGGAGGGTGGTGACATCAGCCATGTCATGCATGCTGCCTGCATCGGGGACTGTCAAGGTTGGGGGGAGGTGGTCGAGGGGATGCAGAGGAAGGAGCTCCTGGTCTGAGGAAGAGAAACATGTGACCACGCATGCTCACCCGTGTGCATGTGCTCATGAAAAATGTAGGAGAGCAGCTGGTCAGAACTCGAGACCAGGTTTCCCAAGCAAACTTCTACAAGCACCAACATTCCGTGAGCATTGCCAAGGTGTTCTGTGCTAAAAGAAAACCCCTAAGCATTTGGTGCCTATTCCTGCAAATGCTCATAGCTCATGAGACGAATGACCAAGGAGCAAGAAGATCTTATAGGAAAAACTTGGAATCAATCAATCACACCTAGATGGACAACTCTGCCCCCGCCCACCATGGATACAGATGTTTGTGTTTCTATTTACATGCCAACTACAGAATCATCCTTGCTGCTGAACATTTCTCTGACTTTGTTGCTGTGATCAAGTAAATCATGATGTTGTGGAGTCCTGCTGCCGAGGTCACAGAATTACACAGATGCAAGTGCGGGGGTGCACGGCAGGGGATGTGGTGGTGTTGGGGGGCTGGCGTGACCAAACACGGGTGGGGCATCTGAGAAGCTTCCTGGAGCTGCTGATACAGTTTGAAAGAAGCGCTGGGCAGAGCCACCAGGGTCAGTTACGAGGAGAGGCTCAGTCCAGAGGCAAGAGACACAAGGGTAGAGGGCAAGCAGACCCTCACATCTTCAACTCCTAGGGCTCTATGTTCTCATCTTCTTCAGAGCCCATTCTGGGAAAAGACACCGTGATGTGTGGAAGCCCCTAGTCCTCCCTGTCTGGCTTCCACTCACCTTTGGAGCCTGTGAAAAGTAGCTCATCCGTGGCGTCCAGGCAGAGGATGGGCTTGGTGTGGCCCTCGGCCATGGAGACACACTGCAGCGGGGCCGTCCGCGCACCCTTGGCTCCTCCAACAGGGGTGATGATGCCCCTTCCCAGGAAAGAGGAGAAAGGGGGCACTCATCAGCCAGGGAGACCACACCAGGCTGAGTAAGGCACATGGGTGAGGGGGACAGGACAGAGCAGGGCCTGGGGACTAATGAAGGAGACTCCAGCCAAACTCCACCAAGGACTGAGAGCCTGGAATACGCTGCACAGAGCGGGAGGGCCTGCCTTGAACAGCACCCTTCTGATGGCTATCCTGAGTGCTTCCAGGGCGCCAAGCCCTGTGCTAGGCCAGCATGGCCCTGCCTACAGGGAGTTCCCATCTGAGGCCTGCCTGACCCAGACCCTGAGACAGAAAGGCTCCCAAGGCCCACTGGGCAGGGGCAGAGCTCCACATGCTGGAATTGCTCCTGCAGCTCCCATCCAGCCAGCTCTTCCATGCTGCTTTAGTTAAACAGAGAGGGAAGAAGGCTCAGGCTGTCACCCCTGAGTGCCCCATCCCAGTACACCCATTTGCCAGTGACTGCCTCTGAGGCTGGCAACCCCCAAGCACAGAGACTCACACACCTCACACACCCCTACCCACAGGCCCCTCTGGATCAGCAATGGTCAGACCTGTAACTATCATTTACAAAGGGGTAATCTCTTTAGGGACCCCCACACAGCTTTGGGTTATGGATGTTTGGGGCCCCTCTGGGGCTCCCCATGAGCACTCTAGGAGAGGGAATGTGGCTACACCAGTCTGCTGGAGGCCCTGGGATGAATGTTTGTTTCTCAGTGAGGAGGGCCTTTTTGGATGAGTCCCTGACTGGGTTATGTGCAGGACTAAAAATACGTTCTAGTCCTTGTCCAAAGAGAACGCTGCCCGATGGGTGGCCGAAGGTATGTGAAATTACCAGTGTCCAGCCCACAGTGCTCTCGCCCAGCCCCCAGGGTTCAGTCAGGCCTCCCCGTGAGGATGGCAGTCAGACATCAGCTGCCAGCCAGGTGTCACGTACACATGAACACCTCTGCTCCTCCAGCTTTGAACAGCTACTCAAACTGCCCCAGCTCCCCACTTCTGACACTAGCTCGGGTCTAGCTATGTCGCTGGGAAGAAGCCCAGGACTGCTGTGGAAAGTATATAAAAGTATATAAGAGGCTAACTCTCCCTCAGACAAGAGAGGCGGGTAGGCCGGCTAGCATCTCATGGGGTGGAGCCTTGCTACCCGCAGGAGGGTATCAGAAACATTAACACCAGGGCTGGGGGCAAGGGGGCCAGAGAGCACACTGGGTGAGCCGGAGGCAGCTCTCAGCCTGAGAGCGGCCTTTTGTTTGTCAGGGGCTCATGCCCACCAGGTCCAGAGACTTGCTCCCCATTATGGTGGGTGCTGGGTAGGCTGGGGAGGCCTCTGGGCTGGTCATCCCACAAGCTGGGTGGAGGCGGGGCGGGGAGAAGGTACCCATCCATGCACCTGTGTGCCGAGAGGTGTGGACAGGGGGCACTTTCTCCCAGGTGCCCCTCACAGAACCAGAGTCTGAAGAGCTCCCCCTAGTGGCATGACTTGAGCATGACACAAGGATCCTGAGCAGAGTCACCGAAGCCCCTCAAACGAGCGCCAGCCCCGGCGGGTCCCCACGGCCCCCCAGGTCTTTCTCCAGATCTCCTGTCCCTCAGCAGGGCTCAGCCCAGCTGACCCCTGCTTCACATGCTGGGCCCCTCCCAACCCAGGTGACAGGGGAGAAGAGAACAGGGCCTGTGACAAGCAACTACACGCCCCTCCCCAAGCCCCCAGCTCCAGCCAGGCCTGGTGGTGAGAGGCCATGTGGCAACCCTGACAGAAGGAACCATGGGGCCGGAACAGGTCACAGGAGAGCCGAGGGCGGGCAGGGGGCGGCATGCTGAGGACGCGGTGTGCAGGCGGGGGTGGGGGTGGGGGCAGCGAGAGGCAGAGAGTGATACAGAGAGTCAGAGCTGGGGACCAAACAGGAGAGACATTCTGTGTACCTCAGGACCTCCGACAAAGAGGAGTCGCTGTCATCAGACCTGGGAAGGGCAGAAAATTAGCTGGATTAGGGGGAGAGAGGAAAACACACACAGGGACAGCAGAGGCAGCAGCAGCATTGAAGGTCAGAGGACAGGTTATTCTCTTCCAGGGGAGCGGAGTGAGGCGGAAGAACAGGGCGCTAGGGAGAGCAGGAAGGAGGGCAGGCAGGCTGGCCTGGGAGCTGGGAGACGCCCCCTGGAGCGGGCCACCAGGGGGTCCCGCAGCTAATAGGGAGTGAGGAGGGGGCCGTGGGGAGACACGGGCATGCCAGCCCCACACTCTGGGGAGACGGATCCCGGTTCCAAGCTCTCCGGCTGCCCCATCGCACAAGCCGGGGCCCCTGCCCTAACCGCACAAGGCCGTACCTGCCCAAGGCCAAAGGAAGCCATGCCTGCTCCTGCCCCTCCCTGGAAGCTGGCTTTGTCCAGTGAGTGTACTTATTTTCCAAGCCCACTATACCCAGAGAGCCCCGGGACTGTGTTTAGAAGCTGGCTCTACACCATGCAGGGCTCCAAGTCTGGGCCACCAGACAGGCCCGAGGCCCTGCTGTCCCACCTGCCCGGCACCAGCAGGGCCTCTGCCAGACCACCAGGCTGTGGTGGGCAGAGTCCCACCCCAATCTTTCTGCAAGGGACCTCTAGACTGGAAAGGCAGGGCACCCTAGGTGGGGGTCAGCCAGGCTTGGTCCACACCTGCCATGGGATCCTGAGCTGAGATAGGCTTGGGGAAGGAGGGTGTCTGGTCTACTGGACTCTGACCCCTGAGCCCAGCATTCGTTGAGCACTATTTCAATGCAGAAAGGGGCATTTTTGTGGGGAAGTGGGAGGGGCTGATGTCAGGCACCAGGTGTAAACAACGAAAAGCACTTTCCAGTCTGGGGTTCCCGTGAAGGACACAGAAGCATCACTCCTAGTATAGAGAAGCTTTTAAGGGAGGCATCTGGGGTCCTCCCAGTGGGAGGATGGCTCATTCAGTGCAGAGGGCCTGAGAGGCCGGGGGCATCCAACCATTTGGGGGAGCACAGAGAGGAAGGCATGGAGGGTGGGGTCCCCCCACTTTCCCACTGTAGGAAAACAATGCTGGCTGGAGTCAGAAGCCCCGCTGTGAGGCTCATTCTCTCATATGTAAAATGGGGAAGATAATCACTGTCTCGTGGCTGATTTGTAAGTCATGGCTGAATGCAGGGGTTGCTGTTAACATAACTCATACCATTTTTAATTGTAGTTTTACAACACTAGCTGCAGGTATAGGCTGAGCTGTACCTGCTGGGACAGTTCCTAAGGGCCACTGGGGTCTTGTTTGAAGCATTTGTGGTGGGGAAGGGGAGTGGATGAACTGAACGAAGGGGCTTCAGACACCCCAGTGAATCAGCTGAGGGGGATTAAAGGGGCAGTCCTGGGGGAGGCCCTCTTGTGCCCGGCCTGTACAGCCATCAACACCTCACTACCCTGTCGCCAAATGCAGTGACTACCTTCTTGCCCTCTCCTTAGGTCCCAGCATGCTCAGTACAGAAAGGGCAGAGGCGCCAGGAGAGGGCGCCTGAACAGCGTGGCTGGTGTCTGTCTGCCCCAGCCCTGCCTCAGACAAGGACCAGACCACAGGCTATTGGTCCTCTTTTGCACCCTCCCCGACTTGCCGTCAGCCCTGGCTCTTACTTGTCCAGCGCCGACCCCTGGCTCTGATTACTGGTGAGACGAGAGAAGACATTGCGGTCGTTGCGGGGCCGAGTGGGAGGGGATGAGGGGGGCGTGAATCCCACATCTGTGGACCTGGGGAGTCGGGACAGAGGGCAGCATCTGTTAGCAACCACATCTCCCTGCCCACAGGCCCACGCTGGGGCTGTGCTTCCAGCACCATCTTCCGTCTCGGTTGTAAAGCCTGGCCCACGGGGCAGGGCCTGCTGTGCAATAATCCTGGAACCAACCCCCACTTAACCTCACAGATGCGGCTCTTAACCTCTCCAGGGCAAAGTCTAGGACCTCGGTACACCACCCTCTTCCAAGTCCCCAAGATCTCTCTCTTTGGAAAGTTGTCAGTAGCTCAGCCTGAATCCTCCCTCCCTTTGGGAAGTGATCGCATTGCTTGTTGCCATCCAGTCGGCTCTGACTCACGCTGACCTTGCGTATAACAGAGTGAGACATTGCCTGGTCCTGTACCATTTTTATGATTTCATTGTTAGGTTTGAGTCCATTGCTGTGGCCACTGTGTATTTTAAATGCCTTCCAACCAAGGGGGCTCATCTTCCGTCACTAAATCGGACAATATTCTGTTGTGATCCATAGGGTTTTCACGGGCTAATCTATGCAAGTAGATCGCCACGACTTTCTTCCCAGCCTTAGTTTGGCAGCTGTGCTGAAACCTGTCTACCATGGGTGACCCTGCTGGTATTTGATATACCAGTAGAACAGCATCCAGCATCATAGCCACATTCAAGCTGCCACAAGTACAACAGACTGACAGATGGGTCAGTTGGGTATAAATCCCTCAGACTACAGCTTAAGTATGTTCTCTCCATTCATGGGTGAAGTGAGATGGTCTGTAAGGTCCTGAGCAGACAGATATCCCTGCATCATCACCCCACCAAAGGCCACCTCTGCCATCCACCCATGCTTTGGTGAGGAGGAGGGCTGGGAGCTCGAGCAAACCCTCCTTCTGTCTTCTACTGAGGAAGGTAACAAGAGACCTTCTTAAGCCCCTGCCTTCCCACAATTTACTGTGTGACCTGGGGGAGTCCACCACACTGCTTTGAAAATGAGGTGCATGAACCAGATGACCCTAAGAGGTATCCCATGATGTGCAGAGGCTCTGTGGGGCCTGGTTTCATGCTGGCTGACCAGATGGAGACTTCCCCGCCACTCTGCATTGATCTCTCTGTTTTTTCTTTGAACTTCTATACTCCTCTCACATGACAAGGCCTTAAAAAGAGCAAGAGCCTCCAATGACCTAAGGTCATACGAAAGGACTGACACACATCAGTACAAAGACCATCCAAGTCACCACAAAGCCGCCTACATTGAGCGCGCATAAGCAAATAGTGTTTAGTAACTGGTTTGGCCGCTCAGTTCAAGGTGCCTTATGGAGATTTTGTTACCGAAGACCACTCCTGAGAGGGTGGGGAAGGGATTACAGGGGAGAAGCCGAATGACTTGTGCAAACTGGCCTAGACTATAAAGTGTACATCATGATCCACAGAGTGGGACATCCCGGCAGTTGATCCACCCAAAGACTACACCAGCAGAGATCCTGGTGCTGGTTCTAGAACACTCTCTTACCTAATGGGCTGCCCTCGGTCATAGGACTTCCTGCGGGTCAGAGGGGACGTCTCCGTGCCGCGAGATTGCCGGGGGCTGGAAGAGAAGGGTCCAGTGAGGCCCAGACCCAACTCCCTGCCCGACCAGACCCCCGTCCCTGGCTCCCTCTCCTTACAAGGTGCTGCCTCTGGTGGGCAGGCTGATGGTGCGGGAGACCTTGTCCCGGTAGTAGGAGTCTCGGATTGAGAAGCCCACTGCATCCTCTTTGATCTCGACAAGGGAGGCCAGGGACTTGGTGATGTTCTTCGTGGAGATGTCCAGTGGGGGACCCAGGCACTCAGCCGAAACAGCCTTCATCTGGGCAGACAGCTTGGGCTCCCCCTGGGAAAGCAAGGGCTAGGGTGGACCAACTCTGCCAAAGGGGATGGCACATATGGGGGGAGCCAGGGAGAAAGGCTAATGAGAGAAATGGTGCCACCTTGGCCTAAGGTAGAGGAGCCTGTGGAAGGACACTGGCAGACGTCACAAAGAGACCGTCTCCTGTGCTCCACAGCTAAACTCTCAAGGCTCTCTGAAAGAATCCAGAGCAACTAGAATTGTTTTACTACCCTTGGTCAGCCTATGCAAACACAGAATGGCCAGACTGACCTCTCATTTTATCCAAAAACTATACACAATCCATAATTCACAGTCTACAGTTGTTTTCCCTTCTCTCTTTAATAAACCGTTTCTTGGTTCAGTCTCTAACCAATCCCTAACTGTTAATAACCTCCCTTACCACTGACTCTCACCCAACCAGCTACCTAGAGTTAGTCTGTGATACAGAGCCATGAGGTAGAGTCTTGGGTGAAGGGGAGATTTTGGAAAGCAGGGCCTCTGGCTATGGTGACGTCACCAGGCAGAGTAGAAGCAGAGGTCAGCTGTGGGTCCACCCACCTCAAACAGGATGGGCAGTAACAGGTTACATACCTGAGCACTCCCCAATTCCAGGTTAGACCCTCTGGGCCCCTCTATCCCAGCCGGGGGCAATATTGGGTCAGGGCCAGGTGTGGGGGCAGAGCCACAGTGAGGTGGGGACCAGTTGGGGGTGGCTGGCCCTGCCCCACCCTACTGTCCATGTTCTCGTGGGGCTGATAGCTCACCTTGAACTTGAAATCATCATGGCTGGTGGAGCCTTTCATGGTGAATGACTGGGAGAAGCTAAGGACGAAGCAGAGGGAGTTTAGAATCCTGATATCCTATGCTTTGGTGTTCTGGGACTTTGATTCATGGGCCCCAGAGAGCCCCCGATTCTAGGCTCAGCCCTAGGACCCCATGCAACCCTCACCCCAGCGCCAGGTACATGCTGTGAGCCAACCTCTTATTCCCAACGGGGAAACTCACCTTCCCTCAGAGAATTCGGAGATCTCCTCATCTGTGCTGGCGTAGCCATTCTCTGCAGGAGGAAAGGAGAGTGAGAGGCCTGGGAGGGAAAGGAGAGGGGGATGGCTCCCTCCTGAATCTCACCCACTGGGATCAGACAAGGGGAGTTGAGGGGAGTGAGGACCCCCAGGGCTGTGAGGATGGTGCCCACACCCCCGTACCCTGCTGCACATTGTAGATGAGGGCCTGCAGCTCGGGGTGCGCCTCAGCCTTCTCGCGCAGGGCGTCCAGAAGCTGGTGGTTCTGGGAGGAGCCCGTCATGTCTGTCTGCTTCAGCCTTCCCTCCAGCAGCCGGATCTGGGCCTCCTTCTGAGCTACTTGCAGCCCCTGAGGGCAGGAAGCAAGGCCTGGGCTTACCCTTCCCGGCCTGGAGCTGTGGGTGCCCTGTCACTGCTCTCACATTCTCACACAACCTGCTCCCTACAAGACGCCTTGGGGGCTCCCTTCTAGCTTCCAGGTACCAGCCCTTGTACCTGTCACTGATCCGGGATGCACCCCCAGCCCCTTTAGCTCCTGGAGGTCACCTGAGGACACACTCTCCTCAGACACAATAGAGCCGAGCCTGGAGCTCACTGGGGACAGGGTGAGGAGTCACGGAGCGGTCTCCCCACCCTCTTCCCACAGTTACACTGTACGTGTTCTGTGTGCTGTCTGCCCCAACAGAGACAGGCCCAGGAGGAAGAGCTCATCCCCTGGGCAGCTCTCTGTCAGGGGGAGGGAGGGCCACAAGAATGTCAGGGCACGCCTGATTGTTCTAGTATAAACCCTCCACCTCCAGCAGTCTCAAGCCCTGCCCTGCTGGGGTTGCCTTGGGCCACAGACACAGGGTCACCTCTATGGAGCCCTGCTGTGTGCCAGGCGCCATGCCACGCCCCTTATATGCATCATCTCGTTACAGCCATGCAACATGCTCCCAGCTAGGTATGTCATCATCCCAGCTTTACGGGCATGGAATCAGAGGCTAGGAGGTGAGGCAACTTGCCCTGGCCTGTAAGCGATGCAGGCCAGGAGGAGCCAGGTCTGTGAGCGCCACCACTAGGGTAGATGGGCTCCCCCAAGAGAACCTGTGGGGATCACAGAGCACCTGTGCCCACGAGGCCCCTACACAGAAGCTGCTACGGCCGGCTCACCTTGTCAATGGACGCCTTGAGGAAGTTGTCCAGCAAAAGGCGGGCTTCGGCCAGGGAGCAGGAGCTGATGACCACTGATGTGTCCGTCGAGTCCAGCTCTTCCTAGGACCAGGAGGCACAAACCCCGTCACTCAGGGCTGCCCCTGCCAACCCACCTCTCCGCCCCAGCCAGGCCTGCCCTGCAGGCACCTTGGTCTCCTCCAGCTGCACAATGGTGGCCTGGCAGTCGGTGATGCTGTCATTGATGTAGTCGATGTTGGCTGCCAGCACGTCAATCTCCTCAGCCAGCTCTTGCAGCCCCTTCTCCTCCTCGGGGCTCTCAGCCTGCAGCCGTTCCCGCTTCCTCCGCAAGGCCTCCTGCAGGAGGAAGAGCTCCTCCCTTTTCTGGGCAGGGGATGGAGGAGAGGCCTCAGGGAGCTGCCTGGCCCAAAGAGCTCCCTGACCACAGCTCCCACCCCGGGTGGCCCAGACACAGGCCGGCCGTGAGAGCCCCTCTGGATTCCAGAGCAGGACACAGAAGCAGAGGGGGCAAGGAGATGTCTGAGGAGCCAGTAAAGTCAGAGCTGACAGGACGGTGGGGAGGGGAGAGGAGGGAGGCGGGGCCCACCTTGATGAGCCGCTCCATGTCGGCCTCGAGGTTGACAATGGTCATCCTCTGCATGACGATGTCTATGATCCGCCGTTCCAGGGACTGCCACTTGAGACGTGCAGCCTTGCTGAAGCTCTGGCTGGCCCCCTTCTTCTGGAACTTCTTCCTGGGGAGACGAGGCACAGGGGATTGGGCAGGACCACTCAGCCTCTGTAGCTCCCTGCTGTCCCCTGCTCAGAGCCCCTGCTGACAGCCACTGGGACCCTCACAGAGCTTCCTTTTCCCTCACCTTGCCCAGCCCCCACATCCCTACCCCCTCTGCCTATCCCACACAGGCCAGGGTACCCGCCAGTCCTCCTCACCTGGCAGGGCGGGTGCCATTTACAGTGGATGCGGGGTGGTCCCCCAAGAAGTGGTTGATCTTGCGGTTCCACTGGCGCACGATGCTGGAGACGGAGCGGGCCCCCGACTCGGCCTCTGATGAGGTGGTGCTGGCCGACACCTCCACCCCCGAGTCCAGCATTGGTGGTTTCAGTCCTGCACGCCCCGCCACTCGCTCAGACATGGGCTTGGCCAGACGCCTTAGTGCAGAAACCTGGGGGCCAAGAAAAGAGGGACCAGGTGAGGATGGTACCTTGGAGCTCCCAGGAAAGGCCCAGGCTGAGGGGGTGGTCGCTAGAGGGGTGTCAGATTACAGAGGCTGCTCTGTGCTGGCCTGGGCCTGGGGCTACAGAAGGGACAAGGAAGCCTGCGTGACGTGAAATGAACATGAAAAAGACTTTCATCTTTTTCGTTTCTTTTCGTTAACAGCTCAGGCCATTTGGGAAAGGAGACTGTAGCCTGGCCTCTGGCCTCAGCTCCCTTGATTGAGAAAGGCCCTGCTGACAAGGCCTGACATAGACAGCGATGGTTTTGCTGAGTGAAAGAAGGGGGAGCCAGGGTTACAGGGAGAACTTGAGGACTTGTCCCCTTCCCTTCTGGCTCTGGCAGACTGGGAAGGGCCTCCTTCTCCCCCGACCGGAAGTTGGAGGCATCGGAGGAGAAGGGGGCAATGTGAGTGCAGCAGGTCGGCCTGCCCTGTATCCGGCCCGCCGCCAAGCTCACCTCCTGGGTCTTCCTCCTCAGGACTATTTCCTGTTGCCGCTTCTGGGACTCCAGAGCCCGGATCTGAAACTGTGGGTGAGAGAAGAGGGGTGTGGGTTCATGCTTAGGTGCCTAAGCCCTTTCTGCTTTGTTAGAAAGAAGAAGGTCTGGCCAGCTCTGCAGGTGAAAACCTGGGTTTCAGAGCAATTCCCAAGCAGCCAAAACTCGTGGATAAGTGAGAGCCAGAATTAGGCACCCACTCCCAAGGTCAGCGCAGGCGCCTTCTGCTGCAACAACAATCCCACGGCCTGTGCTCCCCATCCATGAGTGAGCGACCCTAGAGTGCTCAGCCCCATGGGGCTTCCCTGCGGGGCCTGAAGTTGCATGTTTCTGGCTCTGCCTTGCTGGTGGCCTTGGGCAAGCTTCTCCCTCTCCCCGGGGCTCATGCCCTTCTCTGACAAGCTGTGCCAGGCATGACCACTACCACCTAGGACAGCAGGGCTGGAGCCCACGTGGCCAGGAGGGGCAGCAGGCACATGGGGAGGGGGGATAGTGCTGAGAGCTCCTGGGATCCTCCAGGGCCACCCTCACCTCCTGCCGCCGCTGCTCCTTCTTGAGCTGTGCGATCTCCCTGTTCCTCTTGGTCTCCACCAGCCGCCGCCGCTGCTGCTCCTCGCGCATCTGCTTCATCAGGGCCACCTGGGATGGCAGAGGGCGGTGAGGCAGGGCTAGGCAGTGGGTGGCTACCACCTCAGGGGAATGGCTGGCTCTGAGGGTGTCAGGCAGGGGTGGGAGCCTGCCAGGCAGCACTGACTCGGGACTCAGGGGACTGAAGCTGGGGGTCTGCCCTCCATCCTCCACAGGAATTGAAGCAGCCTCATCACCTGGCCACCTGCTGAAGGGAGAGGCCACTAAAGATGAACCCACTCTGCAAAGCCCAACCCTGGTCCCCACTGCTCCCAAGGTCACAGCCCTGGCAGTCCTCGCCCAAAGCCACTGTCTTGGGTCTGGTCTTCCTAAGAACACTTGCCTCTCTTCCACTGACAGCCTGAGCTGCGTACAGGATGGAAGTGGTGGGCGGTGCCAAGAGCATCATGACAAGAATAAAAGCCACCATTATCGACAGAACACACTATGTGCCAGGCACTGTCCTTGTGACGATCGTGACAGGCATTATCATTCCCGTTTTATAAATGAGGAAATGAGCCCCAGAGAGGGAAAATGACTTATCCACAGTCACACAACTAGTACTGGATGGCTAGAATCTGAGCTCATGTCATTTTGCCCCCAAATCCAGCTCTTCCTGCAGCCCCAGGGATGGCACCAGGGCAGTTCAGAGCAAAGCTGGGGATCAAGCAGAAAGACAGCCTAGAACCCTGGAGCCCCCAGAGGTCTGGGTAAAGGTACAGAGAACACCATGAGTGTGGCCAGAGATGGCCCGGCATGCTCAGGAGGCTGGCTCTGTCCCTGGGCCCCCTTCCTGGTGCCCAAAGCATGGGAGTTCGAGGTACCCAGGGCATCAGACACCTTTCAAGTGGCAGGGCCATGAGAATTACATGGGGCAATCCTCCTTCTGCCACTGAGGACAGGAATGGCCTTGCTCTGAGAAGAGCCAAGAAAGGCAATGGCATGGGATGGGGGAAGGCCCTGAGGGGCCGGTGGCTGGTGGGTGGGCTTCTCCCTCATAGGGCGGACTCTGTGGGGGTGAATCTAGAGAGAAGAGGAAGGCTCACTACTGGGTCTTTGGGGTCTGAAATGAGTGTTCCCCAAAGGACAGTCACTGAAAAGACTAAGTCAAAGCCTTCATGGGCTTGGTTGAAAGTGGAGAACCCTAGGACACCATGAGGTGCCTGTAAAGCCGAGATGCCAGGTATCTTCCGTATTCAGGGGTCTGAGGCTTCCCAAGGAGAAACTATGTTTTCCTGATCTAAGGCCCAACCACCCTACTTCGCACTTGCTGGTTGAGCTCCAAGGCGGCCAAAGTCTGTGGAGGTCAAACCCTATGGAGGCCGAACTCTGAGGAGGCTGAGCTCTGAGGAGGCCAAGCTCAATGGAGTCCAATCTCTGAGGAAGTGGAGTTCTATGGAGGCTGAACTCTGTAGGGGCCAAGCTCTGAGGGGGCCAAGCTCTGTGGAGTCCAAGTTCTGAGGAAGCTGAGTTCTGTGGAGGCTGAACTCTGTGGGGGCCAAGCTCTGTAGAGGCCAAGCTCTGTGGAGGCCAAGCTCTGAGGAGGCTGAGCTCTGTGGAGGCCAAGCCCCATGGGGGCCGAGCTGCCAGGGGGCCAAGCTCTGTGGAGGCTGAGCTCTGTAGAGGCCGAGCTCTGTGGAGGCCGAGTTCCATGGCGGCCAAGCTCCCAGGGGGCCAAGCTCTTTGGAGGCCAAGCTCCATGGGAGATGAGTTCCATGGGGGATGAGCTCCAAGGATCCTGATGTGCGGTTGAGCTCCATAGAAGTCATTACAGACATAATGGTTTCAGAACGGGTGGTGCATTCTAGGCATGTGACAGTGCTGAAATGGGCCAGAATTCGTGAGACCAGCATTGCTCAGCAGCTTGGAAGTATACGGCAGTGTCCCCCAATCCTGTGAGTTGCTGGGGCCCTGCAGCTGAACAGCAGCGGGAGGATTCGCGGTCGCGAGGCTCACAGCGTCTGGGTAGAATCCTTACTGCTGTCCCCTCTGGGACAGCACAGGGGTATTCTTGTCAACCTCTAGCCCTGTGGTCTCAAGTACACAGCCATGGGGGCAGAGTTGGGCCCATAGTGGAAGGGACCCAGGCAATCCTGAAGATGAAGCAGAGGTACACACATGAATCTTCCTGTCCTTCAAATATATCCTGGCATTGTATCATTTTTCCGGGCTTCAGAGTCATGTGGGATGCAGTGCCATGAGGCTCTGCAGGGTCACCCAGCTGAGATGTGGGCTAGCCAGGACAGGCTGGGTCACCCTGCAGAGGCATCTTCAGGGAACCTCCATGGAGAGAGTGTGGGCACAGCCAACACCACTCAGAACTGCTCCAGGAGCAGCTGCAGAGCCCACAGATGGGTGAGCTGCTTGGACCAAGGGAGAGGAGAGTGAAGGCCCACTGGTCCCTCCCCTCTGCACCACCAGGGGGCGCTTGGGGCCCCGGGTGAGCTGTGGGTACGTGAGTTTCAAGTCCATTCAACTTCATCTTGGCAGCCCTCTGAATCAACACCTCATAGGGTGGAGGTACTAAAGTGGAAGGAGAAAATGGGCTCTTTGGAGCCAGCCCAGGCCAAGCCGATCTGAGCCCAGCAAGGCAGGGCATTTCCCCACCCTGTCAGGCTGATGGAGCCCCCGGACCTGTGGGCCAGGCCCAGGCTTGGGGACAGAGCCTCCCCAGGTGAGGCAGCTGGGCCTAAATGATAGCTGAGGCTTCTGCCTCCTCTCAGAACCTTCAATGGCCATCACGGCATTGCCTCTTCTCTTTTCACGCTGGTCAACACCAGCTGAGTCAGCACTGGAGACTCAGTTACTGATGGCTCCTGGAGTCCATGCCACTGTCCCTTCAGCCCCAAGCACTAGGTGGCTCCCCTTCAGGTGTCCCTATTTCCAAGGCCAGCCCACCACAGCTTGCTGAGTGGCCACCAGCACTGGGCTGTGCTAGGGAGTCCAAACTGGCCCAGGGCTGTGGACAGCACAAGGGGCTGAGGTCAGGGCAGGAATGCAGGACCAGGAAGGCCAGGAGGGGAGGCAGGACATGAAGGGAGAATGAACCTGCAGAGTCCCAGGCAGGAACTACAACACTTCCAAGACCCCAGGTCCCAGAGAATAGAATACTCTTATTGAAGGCAAAGTAGAAAAGGGAGGCACTGTGCCACATAGAACATACAGGCTTGGGAGACAGAGAGCTGAGTTCAAATCCCAGCTCTACCTCTGGAATGGACTTCTCTGAGCTTCACTTTCTCATGCATAAAATGAGGAAAATCCTTAGAACATAAGGATTGAATGTGATCATGTGTGTAGTACATGCATGCATTTAGGCTAGCCTAGAGCTTGGCCTCAGTTCAAACAATGGTTATTATTATTATTCTCGGCAAAGTCAGAGGAACAGTGGTGGTTCAGTGGCAGAATTCTTGCCTTACATGAGGAAGATCCAGGTTTGATTCCCAACCAACGCACCGTCTGTCTGTGGAGGCTAGTGTGTTGTATGTTGCCATGATGCTCAACAGGTTTCAGGGGAGCTTCCAGACTAAAACAGACTAGGGAGAAAAGCCTGGCAATCTACTTCTGAAAATCAGCCAATAAAAACTCTGTGGATCACAATGGTCCTATTGTGCATGGGGTAGCCATGAGTTGGGGCTGTCTGGACAGCCGCTAACAACAAGCAAAGTTGCAGACTAGAGGTAATTGTGCTGGAGCTTCCCACCACAGGGGGCAGTGTTGAGCAGGGTCCCCCAGGATCTTCAACTGCCTGGATCATTCCCCACTGGGTACCCCACCATTCTGCACACTGGCCCAGATACTGGAGGAAGGTTGCTTCTCCCTGGACAATGCACATGGCTAACAGAACACTGTCCAAGACGCTTGGCAGCACTGATCATTTTTAACATGCCAAGTGGGTTCTAAGAAGACAAAGCACGGCCATCCTGAGGCACTGCCCCTCACCCCCGCGGACCCTACCTTAGCCTTCTTCATCTCGGCCACCTCGGCCTGCAGCTTTTTCAGCTCCCTCTCGTAGCGCGACTGGTTCTTGAGCAGCCGCGCGTGCTCCTTCTGCGCGGCCTGCAGCTTCTGCAGGTCACGGTTCATCTCCCGCAGCCTCTTCTCATAATCCGCCTTGATCTTGTTGGCCTTCTCCTCTGTGTAGCACTCCATGGTGCCTGAGGACAGCAAGAGGGGTTGTCTGTGCTATGCCCCCAAGCACTCCCATCAGCCCTGGTTCAGGCTGGGAGTCAGGGGGCCTGGACCTAGTTTCACTGCGTCACCTCGGGCAAGTCACATCCCTCTCTGAGTCTCAGTTTCTTCGTTTAAACAAGGTCTGCCTAGATGATCCCCAAGGCCCCTTCCTGATCTAACATTCTGTTGGACTTGGGATCTTAGAGCCCCTGGTTACCAGGGTCCTGTAGGCCACTCATGCTGACTCGGCTCTGACCCAGGAGTCAGTGTTGGAGAAGCGAGCTGGGGACCATGGAAAGGGAAGAGTTAGCAGGGTAAAGACAGAATGATGTGGGTCAGGACAAAAGGAATGAGCTCATTCTCCACTCCGGAACTCTCCCCTGAACTGCCTACCAGACATCTCCCCCTAGATGTCTATCTCTTGGATCTCAAACTTAATGGGTACAAAACTGAACCCCCAATCTCCACCCCTCACTTTCTGCAGTCTTCCCTGTCTCAGTAAATGTCATCACCATCTTTCCAGAAGCTTGAACCTTGGAGACATCCGCGGCTTCTCTATCCCTCACACCCCTCATCTAACCAATCAACAAAGCCTTTTGACTCTACTTTCAACATATATCCAGTAATTGACCACTTCTCACCACCTCCTGTCCAAGCAATCTCTCCCTGGGATCTTTAGAACAGTTTCCCAACTTCTCTCCAGCCTTCACTTTTGTTTGGAACAGCAGCCAAAGGTATCCTTTTAAAATTCAGATCATGTTCCTCCCTAACAACTCCACTCTTTCACATCTCCCTCAGAGTATATGACAACATCCTTACAATGACTGACGTCACCTGGTCCCCCATTTCTTCTCTGACCTCATCTCTTGGTACTGTCCCCACTTTCACTGACTGTCCCCACTCTCACTGGATCCCAGCCCTTCCAGCCCCCTCGTCATTCCTCCAACATGCTGGGCATGTTCTCGCCTCAGGGCCTTGACATCTTCTATTCCCTTTCCTGGAATGCTCTTCCCTTTGCTGGCTCTGCTCCAGCACTCTCTCACTTCCTTCAAGTCTTTGCTCAAATGACACCTTCTCAGTGAAGCCTGCCCTGCCCATCCTTTTCAAAACTCCAACCCATGCCCTGCCCTCCCTTCTCCCCTCCCCTGCTGTCTTCTTTCCCATAATACTTACCATCATCTGATACGCTATTTACTCTGGTTAATTATTTTGTTTGTCTCTTCCCACTAGAATGCAAACTCCATGAAAGCAGGGATTTTGTTCACTTCAATATCTCTAGCACCTAGAATAATGTCTGGTCTATAAGATGTATTCAGTAAATGTTGTATGAATGAATGAATACATGAATGAGCAGAAGAGCAGGGTAAGGTAGATAGGATGTGAGAAGTAGGTTTGTAAACAAATCCAAAGGAAAAGATCCAAGGAACAGAAGGCAGGAGGAAGCCCAAGGGATGTCATGTTCACGTCCTAGGTGTATAAAGGATTCTACTATGTAAGACGATAGTATAAAAAATATGAATTTAAAATGCAATGTAGGAACTAGGGTTAAACATTAGAAGTCCCTTGCTCAGAAAACCAGGTAAATCCCAAAGATGCTAACTGCTGGGTGGTGCTTCTGATGGGGGTAGGGGCTCAGGGAGCAAGCAGGGCGGGGCAGGGAGGGCGGCCTCACTGAGGTTCTGCAGCACGCGGTCACGCTCCAGCTGCGTGTCGCGGATCTTGTTCTGCAGCAGGATCAGTTTCTCCTCGTACTGGTGCTTCAGTGTCTGCAGCCTCCGCTGGCTATTCTCCAGCTCATCGATCAGCTTCTGCTTGATCTCGATCTCGCATGTCAGATCAGCCAGGTCCGCCTGGAAGTTCACCTCTGTGGAGGCAGGGACAGGCTCAGCCCAGTGCCGGGGAGCAAAGGGTGAGGAGGTAGCATATTTGCCAGTCCTGGGGGGCTGGGGGTCTTCATTGGTCAGCCAGGACCAATTAGCAACAGCTCTGGATGGGAGGAAAAATCCCAAGGTGGGCAGAGTGCTGCCAGATGGAGCAGCACATGTGATGAGCAGCCCAGAAATGCCAGGCTGGGCCCTGTGGCTGGGTAGGGGTCTACACGTCCCTCCTGTCCCTGCTGTACCCAAGAAATGCAAAGCTGGGCCTTGGGGCTGGGTGGAGGCCTACACATCCGTCTTGTCCCTGCTGTGGCCCAGAAATGCAAAGCTGGGTCTTGGGGCTGGGTGGAGGTCTACATGTCCCTCCTGCCCCTGCTGTGCCCCAGAAATGCAAGGCTGGGCCTTGGGGTCGGGTAGGGGTCTACACATCCCGTAGCGCCCCAGAGGCCAAGGTCCACCTGTCACAGATGACATGGGACCCAGTATGGGTGGGGGAGGGTGAGAGGACCATAAGCCCTTGCAGGCTGTGGGCCATAGATGACAGCGGGCAGAGCTGAAGTAGCAGGTGTTCCCATTTGGAGAAATGGGCTTCGGCACCAGCCAGACCTAGGCTTCACACCTCAGCTCTGCATCTAACAAATTGGGGAACGTTACTAAACCTCTCTAAGCTTGTTCTTCAGTGGGAATACAGAGAAAGCTTCTAATACCCACTGCACAGGGTTGCACGGCTGAAGGCAGCGATCCACATATAGGGTTAAGCTTAGCACCATGCCTGGCTTATAACGAGTGCTCGGTAAGACCTGCGCCGTTCTTATCCGTGTGGTTGTTTTTGTTATTATTTTGTTGTTATTTTGTTGTTATTATGTCTGGGAGTTCTGGACCCTGAACGACCACTATGTTTGAGAACTCAAGCGGGACCTGATCCCACCCCAGGGAGTCCGGCCCCAGGCTCAGGCGTTCCAACCAGCCAGCTGGTCCTGCCCTGAGAACTTGCTCTGGTCCAGCACTGCCCAGCAGCCCCACCCTGGGCACTGGCCACCTGATGTCCCATCTTCCCCCGGCCCCCAGCCCCGGCCCCACACACCCTTCTCCTCAGGGTCCGAGTCCGAGTCCACCAGGCTCTCCTCACTGCCCGAGTCCTCATCTTCATCCTCTCGTCCTTCCTCCTCCTCACAGCCACTTTCATCCCGCTCTTCCTCCTCCTGGGCACCAAGCACAGTTATGGGAGGGCTGGCGGCCCCTCCTCACACAGGCTGGGTGCAGCCTCAGGGGAGGGGAACCCAGAAGCAGAGGTGTGACCTGACACAACACCTCAGGTGTGTAAGGAGGAGGTGGGGGGCAGGCAGTAGCCCCCCTGCCATGCTCCCTCCTGGAAAAGGAGCACCTCCTCACCTCCTGGGTGAGCCTCCCTGCCTGCTTCATTCCTTTGGGATGAGGTGGGGACTGAGGAAGGGATTGCATGGCAACCAGTCAGAGCTATCTGGAAGCTCAAGGGTCAACTCATGCAGACCTGAACTCCCTCCCCACCCGGCACAAGTAAGTCGTTGGGCCCCCAACCCCAGCAGGGACTTGGGGTGAGTATGTGGTGTGGAATGGGTGGGACAGGCCCCTCACCTCCTCAGCCTCATTCTCATCAGTCTCCTCGCTGTTTTCCTGTTGGAGTTTTGCCCTCTTTTTGAAGGCATCCTTCTCTGGGCTGCCGGTGGAGGGAAGGGTAGGACAGGTTAGGAGGCCTACCCTGCCTTGAGAATGCAGGCAGGGGAGCAGCAGGGGTGGGAAAAGGGAGATTCCTGGCCAGAGGGGATGGAGATAGGGCTGGGCCCCTGCTCTGTAGGAAATCTAGCTGCTCTTTCAGCCTCCAGCCCAGAATTAACCCCGCTTAGTGCCTATCCTTCCTCTCCTTGGGGGAAAGCAAAGTACTGGAGAGGGTGGGGTGGCCTCTGTCCAAAAGACTAAGCAAACCTGCTCAGTGAATTTCCAAGCAATACTAGGGCGAGCCGCTGGGGATGGGCCTTTGGGGGGCCACCCTGAACACAAGTGGGCAGCAGTCCCCTTGGGGGGCTCTCCTGTGAAGCGTCCGCACCCCGCTCACCTCTTTCTCCGCTGCCTGCTCTCTTTCTTCTTTAGCCGCTCCAGGTCCTGCTTGGCCTTGCGGATCACCTCGGTGGCATCCTCCATGGAGCTGGCTGGGCTGCCCCCGAAGCTGGGGGCAGCTGGCGATGAGCCCAGGGAGTAGGGACTGCGAGCAGAGACCCGGGAGAGGTTGCGCCGGAGGGACTCATTCATGGCCTCACTCTCCAGGAGCTTTGTCCTGCGTGGGAAGATGAGTGGGGGCACCAGGTAAGCTGGCATCACCCCTGGCCCTGGCCAAGGCCCCTGGTCTACCCAAGCTTGCTGGGGCTCACTCACCGCAGCTCCTCAATCTCCCGGATGTAGTTCTGGATCAGAGCTCCGATGGCCTCGTTGCCATCACCTGGAGGGGGAAGACCAGATGAAGGTGCCACAAACCAGATAAATAACAGCAAGGACCTCCAGCTCTGAGACGGCCTTGTATCTGTGCCTTCAAAAGGCTGGCACACATGGATGGGCCTTTTCCAAAAAGGAATCTATGCCGAAGAAATACTTGCTTGTGTCTATGCACAGCTATATATACAAGCACTGCTGGTAATAGCAAGAAATTGGAAACAACCTAAATGTACATCAGTAGAACATGGTTATAATAAATAATTTATCATCATCACATATGGAACATTATGCAGTTGTTTGAAAGAATTACGTAGGTTTATATGTTTTGATATGGAGAGTATAATGTTACATGAAAAATGCAAGTCATAGGACAATACATATGACCTCATACACAAAGAAAAAACAGTGTATATATGTACATATACATATATGTAAAGATGTATATATTTGAATATATAACCAAAACCAAACCCGTTGCCATCAATTCCGATTCATAGCGACCCTATAGGACAGTGTACAACTGCTTCATAGGGTTTCCAAGGAGCGGCTGGTGGATTTGAATTGCTGACCTTTTGGTTAGCAGCTGAGCTCTTAACCACTGTGCCACCAGGGCTCTGTGTGAATATATACATATATGCAAATATGAATACACATAACACATACTCATTAAAAAAAAAAGTTGCCATTGAGTTGATTCCGACTCCTCGGAACCCCATGTGTTTCAGAGTATAACTGTGCCCCAAAGGGTTTTCATGGCCTGTGACCTTTTGGAAGCAGACCTCCAGATCTTTCTTCCGAGGTGCTTCTGGGTGTGTTCTAACTGCCAACCTTCCGGTTAGTAGCCACACGCTTTACCACTTGCACCACCCAGGGACACCACATATATTCATATTTGGAGCAACTCTACTGAGAAAAGTGTGGAAAGTGTGTTCCGAGCTGCTCATGGAGGTTCCTCCTGAGAAGTGGAGAGGACGTGAGGTGGAGAGCTTAGTGAGAAGGAGTTTTAACTTGTCACTTTATATATTGATGTATCATTTGCACGTTTATACTAACTTATGTCATACAAAAATGTTTTAAAAGTCAATTGAAAAACCAGGCGTCAATGAACTGATTATGAAATTGATTGGCTGGGCTAGCCTGCCTGATATCCTGGGGTGGGTGTGGGGAGAGGGGCCCAGCCTGGCACACCCCAACTCACCAGCCTTGGCCAGGAGCAGGTTGGCCTCCTGGCTCATGAGGTGGGTGACACGGTTGTTGATGGCATCGATGGCCTCCTGCATGGCCTTCACCCGCAGCCGCAGTGCCCCGTTCTCCTTCTGCAGCATGGCGTTCTCCCGGAACAGGTCGCTGTAGCCCTCGGCACCATCCTCCCCAATTACCCGCTTGCCCTGTGGGAGGGGCGTGCGGGGAGCAGTCAGGCTCCAGAGCCACAGGGAGGGAAATGGAGCAACAACGCTTCTTCCTCTGCCACTGCCCTGGCCCGATGGCAATGCTGCCAGTCTCTTCCTGCCTCAGTTTCCCTAAAACACAGCTCCTGTCTCCCAGTGCTCAAAAACCTTACATGGCTCCTCACGGACAACAGACTAGTCCAAATTCTGCAACCAGCCATCTGAGGCCCCCCACAGTCTCACCTTGACCTGCCTTTCCATGGCTCACCCTCATATCTCCATAAATGCTTGCCCAGGGGTCAAAGCCTTCTGGGGCCAGGCAGTGGGCATAAATGAGTGAATCAGTCTGGGTGTACTACGATAGGGAGCAGTGGAGACTGGAGCTAACTGAAACACAGGCTCAGTCTAAAGGGGCCAATTAAGCACCAAATGTTGTGTTGTTAAGTCTTCTAATTTTTCAAGAAAAATTGTGCAATTCCCTGATTTTCAGAACGGTCAACAACTAATTTGCATTGCTTCAAAACAGTGTAAGTCAAACCAAATCTATTTGTGTGCCAGATTCAGGCGATGGGCCACCATTCGGTGACTTCTGCCCTAGTCACACAGAATTGGACACTTCCCCAAAAGCACCCATCTTTCCCATCTCTGTTCCTTTGGGCAGGCTATGTTCTCAATCTACAATGCCTGCCCCACATCCTATCAAAATCCAGATAAAAGGCCCCCTTCTCCATGAGGCCTCCCCTGACTACCTGGGTGAGCAGGGCCAATTTGCTCCTCTGTCACTGTAGCACACTAGGCTGCTACTCATGTGGTCCCCCCACTGCCAGCTGCTCTGTGTCACAGTCTAGGAGTCTCATCTGTTCCAGCAGACATGGAAACACCCAGCACTGTGTCTGTCGTGTGGATAATATCTATGCAACAAAAGCCTAGTTACTCTTCTTGCTCTGATGCAGCGTTTCAAAACCCTGAGGGCTCAGACTGTACCAGATTCACCTGGGTGAGCCCCCTCTAATACTCAGCGCACAGCTGGCACACAGCAGTGCTCAGTGGGCATGCAAGGAATGGATGGGCAGGTGATGGAGCGGTGGGAAGGATACTGGAGAACTAAGCGTGAACCTGCAGGCAGAGTGTGTGTAGCAGCGCCCTGGCTGGACTCAGGAGAGCTGGGCAGTGCCCCGCCCGTGGCACAGCCCCCAGTGCCCGAGATCGGCTCACCGCTTTGTACTCCATCAGTTCCATCTGCAGGCGCGCGATCTCAGCCCGCAGTGCGCTGATCTGCTGGCTGGTCTTGTCCTGGTTCACCACCACCTTGTTCTTGATGTTGCGGGCACGATTGGCATATTTGAGCGTATTGAGGGTCTCCATGAAGTCTCGGTCTGAGGGGCTCACGCAGGCGATCATGATGGTCTGGCTGGGGGTGAGGCCAAGGAGGAGGGGAGAGTGCACACAGTCAGCCCCCAGAAGTATTGCCTCAGGGCAGAGCTCTGGCTCCCATCCACCCCACACTGCCAAGGAACTGGGCATTCACAATGGGAGAACCTGGGACATGGGGATCTGGAGCACACGGCCAAGGGTTCTATTCTCTATATAGTGAGTATATTCCTACAGTGACTGTGACTAACAAGGTTGGGAGGCTGCAATGCAGAATCGCCAGAGCCCTCTGCTCAGGGATGGGAAGGCACCACAGCCCTGCATTTTTCTAGCGTTTCCCATCTAAGACCTCACGTGGGCTGTACCACCTCCTTTAGCATTATCTCTGTCTGCTGTGCAGGTGAGGAAACTGGGTCTGACTGCAACTGGAGAAAGGTCGTGGAGCACCTCAAGTTTCCCACCTCCCAAGACGGCAGCCTGGAGGGGGAAAGTCTCCAAACCTTCACACCAGGGTGCCTGGAATCTCGTACCTCCCAGCCCTTCACTGCAGGCAGTGGTCAGGTACCTGTTGCCCCCCAGGGAGTCCTGGAGGAGCCGAGTGAGCTTGGAGTCCCTGTAGGGCACGTGCACCACCTTCTTGCTCTGGTCCCCCAAGGCGCTGATCACGTTGCCCAGGGCCAGCTGTGGAGACAGACTCAGGCACTCAAAAGGCACAGGGTGGGGGGTGGGGGGTAGGCGGAGGGCAGTGGGCAGGGACAAGGCCTTCCCCTAGCAGTCTGTACCTGACTCACTGACCTCAGCAGCCCTCAGGCTCCCTGGGAGGGTTTATGGGAAGATGTGATAAGCTTGATGAAGTCAGAAAGATGGGGGCAGGGGTGAGGACTGAGGATGAAGGGTCAAAGGTCCAATGGTAGTGACGTGTGGGTGCCCTGAATAGCAGCTGGCAAGAGGCCCAGGGAGGAACGGGCAGCTGTGGGTCACAGGGCCTTGGAGGGTCTGAGACTGAGCTGTACCGGCTGCTGGGGCTGGTGACCACCGAGTCCCTACCAGGCCACAGTTGATGGAGATGCCTTCCTTGGCCCGCTCGCCGGTGGCCCCTGTCCGCTTCAACCGCTCAGAGCCAGCCAGGTCCACAAAGTGAAACTTAGCGGTGAGGGTCTCATACTCACTGGCAGGAGCCGTGCCCTCAGGAAGCCCAGCAACTGTCTCATTCACCTGCAGCAGAAGTCAGCCGCTGACTCCCCAGCCCTTGCCCGATCTTGTTGCTCCTCTGCTCACAGCCCCCCACCCGCAGTACTGCTGTCCTGGGAGACTTAGGGTGGGGAGTCAGGGCAGGGCTGCAGAGCGTTTGGCAGTTTACACAGCACTTTCACATGCAGATTCTCATAACAAGAGAAGTATCATTACCCTTTGTATACAAGAGGAAACTGAGGCTCAAGACAAAATAAAAAGAAAAGCTCACCAGTGGCAGACCAAGCGACCCCTCATCTTGCCCTCCCTGGGACACCCCTGCAACATGCCCGCTCCGGGCCCTGTGGGCTGCTCACCAGGTTGGGCTGGGCACACACGCGCATCTGGCACAGGTGGATGGTGAAGATGGCGTGGGAACGGGAGCTCTGCACATTCATCTGGGTGCTGGCTGTGGTGCGCGACAGCGCCCCCTGCTTCAGGCACTGGATCAGCTGGGGAGGCAGGAAGAGTGAGGACTCTGTAGATGTACGCGTGGTGCTGGCCCTGCCTTTCTAGGGATGCCCCACACCTACCCTGCCTGGGATGCTCACCTCCTCCTGGGAGTTGATGAGGCGGGAAGTGACTCCTGTGGTGTAGATGCCGCCATTGGCATCCTCATGGATCTTGATGTTGGACCTGCGGTGGCGGGCATCAGGGTCGCGGGTGTTATCAAACAGGTCAAGGATCTCCTCGTTGTAGAGCTGCGCCGGGGAGGGAACGGTTGCTGTGTTTATGTGGCATGCAGCATGTATGGCAGGGGGCTTTCTCGTGCTTATAATGTTTATAACCACCTCCACTTTGCAGGTGTGCAAACTGAGGCTCTGGGAGGTTAAATCATAGAATCTGGGTCCTCTCTGCCTTCTTTTTTTTTTTTTCCTTTACCATGACACTTCATTTTTTATAAAAATTGTCGCCTACTGATACTGTTTTGTACCTTGCTTTTTTCCATTTAACAATATTACTTGGAGATAATTCCATATACGTTGTTAGTTGTCATAGAGTCGGTTCTAACTCATGGCAACCCTACGCGTGCAGAGGACAACTGCTCCATAGAGTTTTCAAGGCTGTGACCTTTCAGAAGCAGATCCCCAGGCCTGTCTTTCGAGGTACTTCTGGGTAGGTTTGAACCCCCAACCTTTTGGTTAGTGGTCAAGCGCTTAACCATTTGTGCCACTCAGGGACTCCAATTCTATATATAGTGCTTATAAGTTTAACATTATAATGTATTCACACATTGGACATAGTCCTTATAATCATCCTCCTTAATGTTTGCAAAAGAGTTTTTCCCCTGGCTTCTTAATTCCATGATCTTTCTCCTGCACAAGGGTGGGAGGGCAGCTGGGCCCTGGGCAATGCTAGCCTGAGCCTACACACTGCTCCTCCATGCCCCATGGAACCAGCATTTAGGGGATCCCAGTCCCAGTGGAAGGGAAAGGACCCAAAGGGGACCAAGAGACTCGAGCCTGAGATGGAGAAGATGAGGAAAGTGTGACCATGATTTGGGCAGGGCCTATTATCTTATCAGGCTGGGACAGAGGGGTGGGGGATGGTTCCGGAAGAAGGAGGCAAAGGCAGAGGTTAGCGGGGGCCATGGAGCAGTGCCCTGATCAGATGGTCCCTGGGGTTGTGGGGCAGGAGGAACGTGTCTGTGTGCCTTGCCCTGTGCTCAGAGGGGAGGCGGGCATGGACAGCGTGCCATTGTGGCCCAGCCTCCTGGGAAAAGCCTGGTGAGAGCATTGTGGGGAAGTGGTCTAGCTAGCGACAGCCATCCCATTTCAGACGATCTCGGAGATTCTTGCTTTAGAATCACTGGCAAGGCAAGTTTCACCAGCTGGATGGTTGGGTTGCTTACCAGCAGGGAGCTGGGGCTTGGGAGTGGGAAAAGGGATGGGGCAGCAGCCAACAGAATCCTGGGGCGGGGGGACTCTGGCCCTCGGACATCCGAGGCTTTGATGGCCTTAAAGGGACAGAAATATCCCACGGGAAGGGGAAGAGGAAAAGGAAGGGACTGGGGCCAACGTGTGTGCCATAGTGTCTGTCTGTCTGTGTTGGGACAGAAACACTGCATCATTTAACCCTTTGTGGTTTGCCCTTTGGCATGGGTGTTCTAGGAACTGGCCTGCTCTTGGCGGATCTCCACGGCAACAGGACGGAGAAGGGAAGAAAACAAAGAGATAAGAAAATCTTGTAGATATACAAGCAGTAAGACACACACATGCACGCATGCACAAGTGGGCGCGCATGCACACACACACGCGCGCACACGTACACACACAGTTTATCAGAAACAAAAGTCCAGAAGGACAAAGGAAGCCTCCCAAGTCTAAAGTATGTCCAGGAGAAGATAACTGGGGGGCAGCAGGGAGGGGGTACGGCAGGGGTAGCCTGGAGACCGCTGAGGCCATACCTCTCCCTTGGAGACAGGCAGAGGGCAACTTGGGCATCATCGGGGCAGCAGGTTTAGGGATGAAAGCCAGCATAGGTCCAAACCCAGCAAATGCCCCAGGGCTTGGGTGGGGGTTTTAGATGCTGAGAACCAGAGGAGGACCTGTTCAAGGCAGGGTCTTCAGGGAAATGTTCCAGGCCCACCTGTCTTCCAAGAAGCCCCTTCAAGAGGGCTCCTTTACAAGAGGGAGCTCCTTACCTCTGGGCTTACTGAGCTGGGGCTCAGCACAGGTCCAAATGTCACAGAGCCTAGAGATCCCCTCTTCTACCCCAAAAGCCTCTGGCTGCCATGATTCCAGGCTTCGGCACACTGGCAACCTCCCAGAGACAGGCAGGGCCAGCTGCAGAGAAAGGTCCATCTGGAGGACCTTCTGCCTGGGGTCAGAGAAGACTCAGAGGGCCAGGAAATGCCTCAGCCAGAAAGGACATGTCAGACAGCTCTGAGGCTGAGGAGGGACTCAGAGAAGGCCAGAGGAAGGGCGAGAACCAGGGTTGTCACTGTGCACCAGGCCTGCTTCCCTGTAAGCCTCACGAAACCCCAGAGGAAACAGATATTATCACCCTCATTTTGCAGATGGGGCAACCAAGGCTGAGTGGTGAAATCACTTGCCCAAGGTCACGCAGCTAATAACCGTTAGAGCTGACAATGCCAGAATTAGTCAGGGTTTGAAGATATCGTATCCATCATTGGCTCAAGCCCCATCTGATGCTGGAAAGCCCCTTAGAGTATACCACCATGCAGTCCTCTAGTCCTTGCTTGGATACATCCAGCAGGGGGGAACTCATCACCTATAGATGCCCCTAAGGCTCCCTGGGTTCATTTCACTGTCGTGGAGGGGGCCAGGCCAGTGCCCATCCAGTGCCCATCCAAGGCTCAGAGGCACCTGCCCATAGAGCCGAGGGGCCTTGGAGCTGCCATCCTATTCCCACCCAGCGTCCCTGAGGTCCACTCAGAGATGCAGGCCCAGCTTCCAAGATCTTGTTGTCCCCCACGTCTGCCTCCAGCCCACCCGACGAGGCCACAGTACCTCCAGGAACTGAGCGCTGACTTTGAACTCAGGCCCAGTTACGCCCCGCTCCTGCGCCCGCCGCTTGCGCTCAGCGATGCCCGCAAAGAGGTGTGCAATGGCCCTCGGGATGATGCCCTGCTCATCCTCCGACGTTGTCATGTCAAAGCCAGTGCCCATAGTGTACGTCTTCCCGGCCCCTGTCTGTTTTGGCAAGAACACAAGAAGGGTGTTACCCAGCACCCCCTGGGGGTGCCAGTGAGCCCTGGACTTGGGACAGAATCCCTCATCTGTCTGACTCCTGAACACTGGGGTTCCCGCACAGGCCGTGGCTCAGCCACACCCTCTGGAACTCTTCACTGACTGACAGCCCCTCCTCTGGGGGCCAGTAGTGCTGTAGCTCCTTGAAGCCTGCTGAAATTTCTGTGCAGCTGTGCCTAAATTGCTCTGAAGGTGGCGCTGCCTCCTTCATCAGGTGGGGGCAGACCAGGGTTGGAGTGGCCAGTGGCGGGCAGGGGCCCTTACCTGCCCGTAGGCCAGCACTGTGGCATTGTAACCCTCGAAGCAGCCCTCGATGAGCTTGTTCACACAGGTCGAATAGATCTGTTCCTGCCAGGTGTCCAAGTCGAAGACAAAGTCGTAGGTAAAGGCCTTGTCCTTCCCCAGCAGGACCTGGGGCTCTCCCGGGGTGACGGAGGTGCAGATGTGACAGCCCTCAATCTTCTCCTTCGAAAGCTGGGGCCGGATCCTGCCCGGGAAGGAGAGAGCTCTGGGTCAGGCCAGCCAGAGGGGCTGCTACGGGCACCCCTCCTTCACACTGCCTGCCAACTTCCACTTCCCCAAACCCCCTCCAGCACCTATAAGCTAACGGAGAAGGAGGCAAACTCAGGAGGCCCCCAGGGAACAAGGCCAGCTTCAGTAGTAATAATAATAATATCAGCACCACCCAAACAAGAGCTGCTAATGTTTTTTAAGCACTTCGTATATATCAGTTGTGTTAAAAGTATTTTACGTAACTTAATTCACGTACTCTTCACCATAAACCCGTGAAGTACATATTATTCACCAGATTTTACAGATGAGGAAACTGAGGCTGAGAGAGTTTAAATAACCTGTCCAAGGTTTTATAATGGAAAGTTGCAGAGCCAGGATTGAACTGGGAGCCCTAGAAATCATCATCCCCCAAGAGCAGGGCAAAGAAGGCAGACTGCCCACTTCCAGGGAGACAAAGCTCAGGGCCGGGTGGGAAGAAAAGGACTGCCCCAGAGCTCTGGCCCACATCCCCTACAGCCAGGAAGGACTAAGCTCTAGGTGAGGCTAGAGCCTCTGCCAAGGCCTGTGGGGGCTGCAATGGTCCCCCAGCAGAGGCCCGAGTCCGGGGGAACATTCTCAGTCACCAGCTCTAGTTCCTCTCTAGGAGCCTGGGAGGCCACACCAAGCACAGTCCTGGAAGACTAGGGAAAGTTAAGAGAAACCTGCGAAGGGCTGGGGCCACTAGAAGGAACTCCAGGCCAGCTACACCCCCATCCCAGAGCCTGGCGGCTCCTGTAAATAGGAGGACAAGTGGCATCAGGGCTGAGTGGGGAGACAGCCATAGACAGAGCTGTCTCCATCCAGTCACCCCTCCCTCCTTTTCTAAGCAGCCATCACCATGGTGAGGTCCCCATGGCAACCAAGCATGAGTCAGTGAGTGTGTGTTTGCAGGGACTGGCAGAAAGCACCTCCTGTCATGGTTTGAATTATGTCCCCAAAAAATGTGCATATCAATTTGGCTAGGCCATGATTCCTGGTACTGTGTGATTTTCCTGTATGTTGTAAACCTGCCCCTATGATGTTAATGAGGGAGGATGGGTGGCAGTTGTGTTAGTAAGGCAGGACCTGATCTACAAGCCTGGATTGTGTCCTGAGGCAATCTCTTGAGATATAAAAGACAGAAGTGAGCAGTGAGACAGGGGGACCTCATACCATCAAGAAAGCAGTGCCGGGAGCAGAGCGCAGTCCTTTGGACCAGGGTCCCTGCACAGAGAAGCTCCTAGTCCGGGGAAACACTGAAGAGAAGAAGGCCGACAGAGAGAAACAGCCTTCCCCTGGAGCTGACGCCCTGAATTTGGACTTTAGCCTACTTTGACTATGAGGAAATAAACTTCTCTTCATTAAAACCATCCACTTGTGGTATTTCTGTTGTAGCAGCACTAGATGACGAAGACACCCCCTAAACCTAAAGTGAAAGGGTCAGACCCTAATGCCCATGGGCTCACACAAGCCAGCCCCGTCCACGGGCACTCACAATGGGCTGCCTGTCAGGTTCACTGTCCCTACACCAACATTTACCAAAAGAAGAAAAGAGTATGAGGGGCCAGGCCAGCACCCATCTGGGGCCCAGACACGCCTAGTCACAGAGCTGAGGGGCCTCAGAGCCGCCATCCTGTCCCTGCCCCAGGTTGCCCAGGGTCCCCAAGGTTCACACAGAGTTGCAGGCCAGATAAGATGCTCACCTGAGCCTGTTGCCTGTGCTTGGCTCTGAGGTGTTTAAAGGGGATGGGGCAGGGGGGAGGGGAGTTGGTTCTTGGTGAGGGGCTAAGCAGGCCCACTTCACACCTGGGAGGCTATGGATGGTAGCCTGGGCTTCCCTCGGAAGTACTTCCCCTCAGGTGTGAATTAGTCATGTCAGTACCTCACATTCATTGAAGCTGACAAGAAAGGAAGCCAAAGGTCACCACCCTTATGCAGCTGTTTTGGGCCAAGTTGAAATGAGAACCCAGCATCTCAGTCTCCCACCTGAACTGGTTTCTGACTAGGAAGGGAGCAGCTGATTCTTGCTTGTCACCAATTCCCTGGACCTCCAGACCGGAAACCTGTCCCGCCAGTAAGATGTCAGGAGCAGTACGGCTTCAACCTCGACTACCAACCATGACCACACTGGGTACTCACTGTCTACTAGGCAGTGTCTAGGCACTTGGCAAATATTAACTGTTTTGATCCTCACGACAACCCTATGAGGTTAGTACTACTGTTCCCATTTTGTAGATGAAGAAACTAAGATGGTACCCAGCTAGTCACAAACATAGAAAGTGGCACAGCTGGAGTTTGAACCCACACAGGCTGTGTGCACTACTTCTTCAATACTCTTACAACACATGGTCACTAAGGGGCAGGGCTGAGAGTGCCAAGGGGAAAGAATGTCCCATAACCAAAGGGAGAGGGACAGCAGGCAGCAGCCTCAGAAGGAGGGAGATGTGGCATTGCACACGAGGCACCAGGCAGGACTGTGGAGCCCTGGCCCTCTGTGCTGGCTCTGCCCCTGGGTCTGCGGGACCCAGGACCAAACACTTCCTGCCCGGGGCCTCCAGGGGTTTCCAGGTAAACCAAGGTTCTGGCCTGGGCAGCCTCTGAGGACCCTCCGGCTCTGCTGGCTAGCACCAGCTCCTGAAGACAACTCTCTACCACGTGGCTGTTTGCAATGGGATTTCTGGATCCAATTGAAATACCATTTAATTACCCCAGGCAGATGGCAATGCTGGTGATTGGAGGAAATCAAATCAGGGTCCCTGGAGATAGCGAGGGGCAAGGGAGGGGGAGCAGTAGCCCTGCCTGTCAGAGCCCTTCAGTGGAGGGGCAGCTTCTCCTTCAGCATTTAGCCCCCACACCACCTGGGGAGCCCACCTGCCAGGAGCAAGAGTAGGCAGAAGAGCAGAGGGCATGAAGGGGGGACCCCAGGGTTTTAGGGTCCAGGAGTTCTGGGGCCAGTTGGACATCTACCCTGGGACACTCTTGGCCCTGATAACCAGCCAGCCCCACACTGCCCCATCCGAAGCACCAGGGTACCTTGCCGGGGTACAGGTGGGTAGGCAGTCTCAACCAGAGAAAAGGGTACCAGCTGGGAGACAGAGGACATAGATCCTGCATGAGTCACCAATTCCCAAAGCAAATGGCCTGGAAGAGGGAGAGAGCACTAATCCCAGCAATGGGACTGAATGAATAACTGGAGATGACAGGTGCCTGCCATGTGCTAGCACTGGACCAGGCACAGCCACAGATGACCTCATTTAAGTGCTGCTATGAGCTGGGGGCGGGGGGGGGGGCAGTGGTAGCTCAGTGGTAGAATTCTCACCTTCCGTGCAAGAGACTTGGGTTCAGTTCTCAGTCCATGCACCTCATATGCAGCCACCACCCGTCCATCAGTGGAAGCTTGTGTTTTGCTATGATGCTCAACAGGTTTCAGGGGAGCTTCTAGACTAAGATGGACTAGGAAGAAAGGCCTGGCGATCTACTTCTGAAAATCAGCCCTGTGGATCACAACAGTCCTGTTGTGACCAACACGATGGCAGCTAACAATACAATGAGCTAAGGCTTTCAATCCTCATTTTCTAGAGAGGAATGCTGGAGCTTGAAGTGGGCGTCACACACATAGAAAAGTAGTGAAATCGGCAGTGAAGTTGAGCATTAATTCCTGCTCTGGGTGACCCTGATGGCGGCCTCCTACCCAGGAAACTCCCAATCCCCAAATTGCTAAGTACACTTCCTCCCACAGCACCACCAGGAAAGGCAGGGAGGCCCTTGGAAAGAGATTCCCACCACGTCTGTTCATGCTTACACACCACAGGGTCTGAGGGTCTGCTCTGTGCCAGGCGGGGTATGAGGGGTGGCCCCCGCCTTCTAGGGCTCACTGTCCAGTGGGGGGGATGGGGGGAACACTGTGTCTCAGTCACCCTGGGGTTCCCTCCTCACCACGCTGTGCCTCGGGGAGAATTCAAACCCATGCCCCCTAGCCAGGGGAGTAGCCTCAGCTAGGAGACAAGAGACTGTAGCTCATGTGTCTAGGCTTCCACCTGTGTTATCTAGGTCATCTTCAAGGTCTCTCCCTGGTTTTAACTTTCTAAGAACTCTATCATCTCCCTTGCGGGGGCCTCCTCTCCTCGCCCCACCCCAGGTGAGGTCACTTCTGTGGGCTACCCTCAGAGTGGCGCTCAGCCAGCCTGGCCCCAGCCCTGGTGAGGGAAAAGGGGAAGTTTCCCGTTACAGCAGCAGGCAGGCAGCAAGGACGGGAAGCACTCACCGCCCCGCCCCTCCCTGGGGGAATGGGAGCCGGTCAGTAAAGGAATCTCGGCGTCTGTCAGTCTTCGGTTTCTAGGTCTTTCAACTCAACCACTGGCCTAGGGGTGCGGACCAGGCCCAGGAGCAGGGTGAGGAAAGCGAGGCACTCGCCTCAGGCACAAAATGTAAGCAGGCACCAAAACACTCAGTAATCAAGATAAATTATACTTTAATGCAATATTTAAGAAAAAAAATCAAATCGGCCAACTATGGCCCGCAGGCCGGCCACCTGTTTTTGTAAATAAAGATTTGGGGACTACGCATTCAGTGGCATTTCTGCCCACTGAATACCAAGCATCTCATCTCAAAACCCCTTACCCACCCCCACCCCCACCCTCCAAAAAGCCTTCGGAGCGGCATCCCTTCTCGAGGTTCCCCAGAGAGGGAGGGCGGGCAGGCCGGACGGCCCGGCTCAGAAAGGCCCCGGAATCTCCCAGAACAGAGCCAGGTCTATTTTGCCACTTGGCAACTCGCAGGCTGAGCGGCGGGTGAGCGCGGGCGCGAGAGCAAGAGAAAGGGCCGAGCGCTTTTCAGAGGCAGGATCTGGCACGGGCGGCGAGGCCGTTGTGCTTCCTCTGCTCCCAATTGGGCAGGAGCTGGTCTGATGTAGGAACCCGTCCCCCACCGCCAGAAGAGCGCACCCGGGGCTGAGGG